CGACGCAAACCAAGCAAACGGCTTGGCACGTGTTTGCTGCGTGATTCTGAGCTCCGCAGCATGAGCTGGGTGTTCCTCTCTCCCCAGGGCGTTTTTCTGGCTGGTGTCGCTGCTCCTGGCATCTCTGATCTGGTTCATTTCGGTCCGTCTCAGCGACCGGGAAGACGCCAAGCTGCAGTACGGCCTCCTCATCTTCGGGGCTGCCGTCTCTGTCCTGCTGCAGGAAGCTTTCAGATTCGCCTACTTCAAGTTGCTGAAGTAAGAGCCTCCGTGGGGCCGGGTGACTTGTTCCCGTAGCTGTGGTCCGTGCCCAACCTTTGCTTTTTGTCTGGGGAACCCCGCAAAGTATCTTCCTCGTTAAATCCTGCTGTTCCTCCTCACCCTAGGCTCGTTTAGAACCATCCCTTCCCCTCTCCTGTGTGACGGGATCCCTGTTCCGAACTAGCCGCTCACGCTTTCTCTCCCGCTCGAGCAGGAAAGCCGATGAAGGCCTGGCGATGATCAGCGAGGACGGCCGGTCCCCCATCTCCCTCAGGCAGATGGCTTACGGTGAGCACGAACCCAGGCAGGGTTTGGGCTGTCGCTGACCTCCCCGCGTTCCTCCGGGGCTGCCTGGCAGCGGGACGCTCGGTTACCGGAGACCGGCGGCAGTGTCGGTGAGCCTGCCGGGCTAACACAGCCTTCCCGGTTCTCTTTCCCGCTCTCCTGCCTTTTCCTGGGTCCACACACCGAGTCTGGGACTCGTGGCGGAGGCGGCACGGCCACGATCGCTCTTGGCTGATTCCTTTCTCCCTCCGCAGTCTCGGGCCTGTCCTTCGGCATCATCAGCGGCGTGTTTTCCGTCATAAACATCCTGGCAGACTCCATCGGTCCCGGCATCGTCGGGATCCACGGGGACTCGCCGTACTACTTCATCACGTCCGGTGAGGCTGGGGGCTGGCGTGGAACGTGGGCTCATGCCCGGGGTGCCGGAATCCGGCTCCGGTGCGTGACCCTTCACCGTGGTGAGGAGGAGGAAGGGGGTGACGAGATCTGAGGGAGGGTCTGTGTCGCTTCTTCCCCCAGCGTTCCTCACCATGGCCCTCGTCTTGCTCCACACTTTCTGGGGAGTGATCTTCTTCGACGCCTGCGAAAGACGCCGCTACTGGTGCCTGGGGCTGGTGGTTGCCAGTCACCTCCTTACCTCGGGGCTGGTGAGTTTGGGGAGCCGGAGCCCACCGGACCCAGAGCCAACCGGACCGGCACCAAAAGCCGTTCCCAAAGGAAAGCGGCCCGTGACTGTCATCAGGACGCCCGTCTGGGCACGGGGAAGGGGATCGCAGGGACATTCCCTAAATCCCTGCGTCCAAGTCACGTCCCCCTTGGGCAGCCTGTTGGGGTGCACTCAGGGGAAGGAGGGTTAACGAAGGACCGGGGGCCCGCCGGAGGATTAGCTGCTAAGCTCCTGGTGGGGAAATCTCTCGGCAGGAGTTTAAGCCAGGCTTAACGGAACTCTGCTCCACTTGGAGGCTCCCCTTTTCCCCCTGCGGCTGTTTGGGGGGGGTC